GGAAGGGTCAGCCAATGAGTAACCAGATTCATGCATTCACTGGGACCAATAAACTTCGGGGCCAGTTACCTATATGGAACCCACAGGCAGAGTTGCTTTGTGAACAGTCATACCCTCTGCCCTGGTTTCAAAGGAGAAGCATCTTGCCTGTGGCAATTCAAGGACCACTGATACCTCTTCATGAGGTGGTAATGCACTCTGCCCCAGATCCCTTAAAGGTCTCATACAGACCAGTTGGCACCAGTAACATCAACTCTGCATTTGTTGTGAACATCTAACTCTTGAAATGCGTTCTGGGTAAATCAGTTTTTCTATTGAAAGTTCAACTACCTAAACAACAACTGCAAATGTTTTACAAGGCATGTTTTATTACATGATGAAACCATTTTTTATATTTTTTTCATGTCCTCAATTTTTTTTAATATTCACTGAAGATTGCTCTAATAAGATGAACTGGTCTTGCTCAAACTAATGTGGATTTGCAGAAAAGGTCTTTTAGCATGATCAAGATTTTTAGCATGATTTAATTTTCCATATAATAATAATTGCTTACTCTTTCTGGACACTCCACTCAAAGCGCTTTACAGGTAATGGGGACTCCCTTCCACCACCACCAGTGTGCAGCCCCACCTGGATGATGTGACAGCAGCCATACTGCACCTGAACTCCTCACCTCAGCTATTAGGAGAGAGCAGAGTAATGACGCCAATTCGTAGATGGGGATTATTAGGAGGCCATGATTGGTAAGGGCCAATGGGAAATTAGGCCCTTTTTTGGGGGGTTACACCCCTACTCTTTTCAAGAAGCCCTGGGATTTTTAATTTACATCTTATCCAAAGAACAGCGCCCGTTTACAGTATAGTGTCCCCATCACTTTACTGGGGCATTAGGACTCACATAGACCACAGGGTGAGCGCCCCCTGCTGGCTCCACTAACACTTCTTCCAGCAGCAATATTAGTTTTTCCCATGATGTCTCTCATCCAAGTACTGACCAGGGTCACACCTGCTTAGCTTCAGTGGGCTGCTAGTTGTGAATTGCAGAGTGATATGGCTGCTGGCACATACTGTATGAAGACTATCTTTTTTTTAATAAGAAGTCACTCTTTGCAGTTTGCAGAACCACATCTCTTCTTTCTTTCAAACTTTGATCAAGTATTTTAAATAGTAAAAACTCACTTTACATGACATTATATTTCATTAATTCATTTGTAATTTAGAGATTCTATCTTAAAGATATTTCCGGTTATGAAATCTACAGCATAGTCTTAAAATGAACAGATAATTGGTGTGATTTCTTTGTGTTAGCCTACATACTTGTTAATAATGGTGACTTTAATTTTAATGGGGTTTTCAAATATAGAATGTGGACAGGATCACATGACTATGACAATAAAAATATCAAGCAGAACCCTTTTTCTTTGCCTGATTAGGAAACATTGCAACCAATGCCAGCAATTATGTCAGTATCATAGAATAAATTAATGTTAAGAAATGGCTAATTTATATTGTGGACAAAAACTGTAATGCTTTTCCTTCTTCAAAGTCAGTGTTCTGACTCTATGCTATTATAAGATTTGATATTTAGAGGCATAAAATGGAATAAATTATTTTTTTAGCATTTGTCTATACCTCTCAGTATAGACAGAATGGCTTGTTAGCCTGTCAGGTAACACTAACCACGACAGAAAGTGATTCTCTGAAGAAAATAAGATTTATTTTCAATTGACACCTACATTTCTGGTTATTGTCTGTAGTGTCTGTAGTGCAAAGTGTGTAAAATGTTTTTTCATACAATATTGATAAAACATTTTAATTGCTCTTCATTTTGCTTGTTTCCTTTGGTGAGAATATGTTTTTCTTTGTAAACTCTCTTTGTAAAACACATTGTGCTCAGTGACTCTTTAGTGACAAATATTTTTTCAATTTATGATAGTAAATGGCATTTAGTTTCTGCAATTTTTGCTTGATTTGACCAAATTATTTTAAATTTATTTTCCAACTATTTCTACACAACTAGAATGAAATATAGACGTTGAGTTTAAAAAATACTGTATTTTAACACAAATTCAGAGATTGTCAGTTAGATTTCTTGTATAAGCAACTTTAAAAATTTACTAGTGAAGAGGTGGAGTGAGTATTTATAGTTGCTCCCTTTTTTATTTTGTGATATTTCTTATCTTACTTTATGCAGGAAGAAAAGGTCTCTTCAGTGGAAATATTTCTGCTCATTTGCTCTTTCATAGCCTAAAGGGATACTACTTGAGAGAAGTGGTTATGCAAGTTAGCTAGTTACATTTCTTTAAGTAAAGATGGCACATCTTTGGAACATTCTATTTTTTAACAAATAGCTATGTGTCCCCGATCCTTATGTAATTTATTTGCAGTGACTATCTTGGTATAAATTGATTGTTCAGCAGTTTTCTATCATGCTTTTAATATCATCTTAGTGGTGGAACAAGTAGGGCTGTCATTATTACTTTATATTTAGTGACTGAACTGCACTCCACATAGAGAAGCTATTGTATTTAACATTGCAATCCAAACAAGGCATTATCTTTAAACTTTCTCCAACAACATCGCATGAATATGTCATTTTATTATAAGTTATTCATACTGTATTTGGAATATTTCAGTTATATTACAAAAAGCACTCAAGATTTACATACCAGAAATTTCCATAAAAGCATGAAAAAGTTATCAGTGAGAACAGACTATGCAGCTCATCTATCTTGTTTGGTTGCTAGGAGCTATTTGATCTTATAATCTCATGCAGCCATTTTTTAAGGTTTTTCCATGGAATCAGCTGGTACAACACGCCTGGGTAGCTTGTTGTCCACTCCTACAGCCTTGTGCAGAAGGAAGGGATTCTTGTTTTCAGCACACACACTTCCCCTTAATCTGAATGTGTACTTTCTGGTACTTGCAGCTGAGATTTTTCAGAAGGCTCTATCCCCTTCAAGTCTTTTCTTCTCAAAACAAAAGCTGTTTAGCTCTTTTCAATTGTTGGTTTATGATATGCCGATAGACCACTAATATACTGCGAAGAATGTTTCTCGCACAGCTTTAGCAGCAATTCAAAGATGCACCCTGACACGTTTTATCAGGCAATTCACAATATACTGTATCCAACTGTAAAACTTTCTCAGCTGATGGAGAACAGATTTGTCTGTCATCGCACTAATGAGGCAACTTCCTTATCAGGATCTGTAATATGTAATTGTAAAGAGTAGATAGTTGTTCTAGGTGCAAAGCTATTACTTACCTGTTTTTTAGAGAAAAGAAGAGCCATCATTATTGTCCGCAATGCCTTTGTACAGTACAAATTATTTAGAAAATTGGATGAAGAGATAAGTGTTGAAAGGAACCAACACATTTAATAAGCAGCAACTCTAAGCTCATCAGGCATGACAAACTTGATATGGAGGTGTACAGCCTTTCCTATAAATGTAGAACATTTACTGGCCTGCAATGGGAGTTACATAATTTCTTCATATAAGACTGTAGTACTGTATATTACAAAAGATGACAAAACTATCTGTTCAGTATTACACTTATGAAAAATTTTGTTGGAGGACAAAAGTTTATATTTGAAATATAGACTTTTTTTTCCTCAAAAGAGTTGTCGATCCTACATCACAATGCACCAATATTATTTCTATTTATTCTGGTTTATCTGGTTTACGATGCATTCCCAGCTGTGGTTTATAAACATAACAGTAGACTGCCATCGTTCGTAGCCCATTTATTTTTATATAATCATCCACTGTTTTAAACTCAGGCAGCAAATTAACCTATCAGTGTCTGCGTAGGAAATCAAAGCAGTGATTGTCAGTGATCCATTCATTAAAAAGTCACGTTTATTCCAGTATTGTGTGACAGAGTGTGTAAACAGGACGGATTTCCCTACTGAGAGTTCTTTTCTTCTCATCAATGCTTCTTCATCGAAATTCTAATCGCATTTACTTCGTTCCAGAAGCGGCCCCTTGACTCATCTGCAGAATCCTGGAAAAATCACACAGTACCATTGAGGCTTTCCTAATGCATTAAAACTCTGCAAGTGCGTGTAGGCTAGTACTGCATATACCGTATCTTTCTTCTACGGAAAATGCAAAAGGGTCATCAAAAAACAGTCAACGAATAAATATAAATTAGCGTTTCTCTAAAATGAATGGATTGAATATCAAGCACTGTAAATATCAAACATTAGTGTGTGTTATCGGTGAAATGGAGGTTTTAATACGGTGTGGATAACAGAGATTCAGTCACCAGCAACTAAAACTGTAGAAAAAGAATGCCCCCTTTTTTTCTGTGATTATTTCTTACACTTTGCATTAAAATCCAGTTTAACACTTTCGCGTATTAACTACAGTACTTCATATGCAAGCGAATGTCTGTCGTGTCGTTGCCATTCTTAAATTCAAGCTCTTGTCCTGACACCGGTGGAGCCTGTTCCGTGGGATTCGGTTTTTCACTATGGGAGCAAAACATACTGTATTTCCTTATACTGTATTTGTGAAATCAAATTTACACTGCTTTTAAAATGCGAGAACATGCAAAGCAGTATGTCTTTACGGAGTTCGTGCAGGTAAAAAAAAGGAGAAAGCTGTAACTAGGCAACTACTAAAAAGAAGTACAGGTACTGCAACACTTTTAATGATACACGCAAACAATGTTGTAAGGTCGCAATTCCTCGCTCAATATCACCGACATGCAACAACAATAATCATCGTCATCATGATATCTAGACCCAGTTTAGCAAGTGGGCTACTTTTAAAATTAGTGTCACAGAACATCCTTACAGCTAGATTTATCAGTTGTTTTATATATGTGGTATTTAACGGGAGTTACGAGACTAAGTATATAAAGAGCCTTCAGAAGGGCTTTTGGTTTCAGAGTTGCATAGCACTGTTTCTTGTATTTCCATTGGGCGGCAGTAAGTGTATCGTTTTAGTGTGAGCTGCCTTGCTGGTGGTTATTTGAGCATTGGTATATGTGACAGCAAGGATGGAACTGCTGTCTTGTGTGACGGCGACAACTTTTACTATTTGTAAATAGCAATGTGGTCATGTGAAGTAATTTGGATTTAATTGCACGGTTACCGCGTAAGCTCTTTTTAAAAAATTCCAATATTCTGTTAGACCATCGTCGTAAAACAATGCAGATATTTAAGATGCTTAATTAAAACCCGCAAGAACCCAAACGGGCTTTAGGACCAGGGAGACGAATTTATAAAGCAGCGAGGTTTCTGAGCATTCACATAGCAGCACTGTGAAGGAAAACCCCATCGGATCTGGTATTGCAGGATACTTGTGAAATATACATAGATTTCTTTGCTTTCTGCGGGTGCAGCTTTCAGAAGATCGCACATGTGCACTGGGATGCTTAGTAACGCAATGCACGTTTGGAGGACCCATGATCAAGACTCCTTGTCATAGAGCAAGAGGACTTCTTTGGTGTTTAATCTTGCCCTTCAATTTCTCTCCACCTTTTTTTATATGTCATTCTTTTTTTCCCACACCTGGATCACGTCTACAGAAAGAAAACTGGGCACTTTCTCAGCCAGTACGCTAAAATCAGAGGATATGCATGCTTATCTGGGATTAAACCATCTTTTGGACAACTTGGCAATTGCGTGAATGGGATATTTTGCTAAGATATTTACTACCTACAGAATATAGGAGGGGGGAAAAACGTGTTCTTTTTGCTGATTAGGCGTTGTGATGGTCATAGATTTTTGTAATAACTGACATCAGAAACAGAACATTTCGGAAGCTGGTTGTAGGTAAGCCAATTTCTGTACAGTATATTCTTGCTACCCTTCTGCTGCCATTTGATAAAGTTGGTGGTTCTTAATTAAATGGGTACTTTCGTGATTGCTGCATTGCATTGATCCGTTGGATTTAGCCATTATTGGCAGTTGTATGAAGTTGCAGCAGTTATGTTAAAAGCCTTATAATAAATCAAGGGGGTCAAGTTTTAATATTTACCCATTAAAACGAACAGCGTGGGTGAATTATGTCAGACCGTTGTGCTTGCCTGCAATGGATTTTCAAGTTCACCCGTTAAAAAAAAAAACAGTTTATGCTACAAAGCCGATTTACGAATGTATGTATACAGTAGTACGGATACCCATTAGGTTATATATGGTTGGATTAGTATTGAATTAATTAGTCATATCTGTCTTATATAGCATATAATGACTATTAAGGGAACTGTGTCACTTGTCAAATCCGTGAGGGACAGCGTGTTCTAATGTATAGTTAGGGTGCAAATTTGAATATGCCTTATCTTGCTTCTTTCGAATTGACTGTTAAGAGTAAAAGACAAAATGCAGCAGTGTTTAGTCACATATTTCCACAGAGGCGGGATTAACATGCACAAAAACTGATTAAATGATATAGGTGTTGTCTACGTGTGATTCATAATTAGAAAGGAAATAAGCTATTTCAGATTCTTTCTGAATTTATCGTTCGTCGAAAAAGTGCTTATGCTGCTTGCATCTCATGCTCTAAACCTGCAACTTAAGGCTGCAGACTGTTATAAAGAGATCGGTTGTTTTATTGGATCAAAAGGCTAGTCACACATTGTTAGGAGTAACGGTAATACGATGCTAAAACTAGAATGTATATTTTATAGAATTCATGATGTTACTGAGAGAAATTATGATATTTACAGGTACTGTATAACGATTTAGCCGATGAATACAATTGCAATTATTAGGTTGTGTATACAGTATATGGGATGGTACTCAGACAGGACTGAATATTAGAAATTTTTAACAAAGTTACCAGTGTATGCTAATTGTGTGGATGACAATATCAGTTCAGATTGCGAAGTTCCCCACCGTGCTGAAAAGAGCAGCGCCTGCTGTACTATGCCTGCCTCAAGCTATAGGTGGTGGACTTAATCCAAAAATCGCTGGTAGTTTTCTGTGAAGCAGTGCACCATCGATCCAACTTGTGTTCATGCGGTTACGGTCTAACCTATTACAAGTGTACAGACGCTGTTACCATCATCATTGACATTAAAATGAGAAGTGCTCTAACGAAACGTCACATTATGTTTCCTCAAGGAAAATGCAAAACTATATTTTTATCGATAGTGTGTATTGCATTGCTAAATCGCTGGTACTGTACAGTATGTATGCAATACAAGAAAAAAAAAAACCTTATACTGCACTGCTGTTTTGCAGGTTATGAATGTAATACACCAAATAGCCTGCATTTTAAATACTACCATTTCATCTGGTTCAAATCCACCTGTCTATATGAAATATTTTGATACCATATGTGGCTATTAAATATATATACTGTATATGTATATAATTATTTTCCGAAATACATTTCCCACTCCTGTACATACATCTGGTATAAATGCACTACCCATACTTTATATACAGTATATATCTACAGTATTACAATGTATAGCAATTTAAACACTCGTGCCCTGCGCGTAATTAAATTACATGTTGGCTGTACAAAGCATTCGCCAGACCTGAAAACCCAAATGCAAATAAGTAACAGAACTGTAAATAGGGCAATTGTTGGACTGCTAGTTTTCAAGACTTGGATGGAATAGATACAGTACAAGATTCTTTCACAAATGTAATGATGGTAACAAATGAGAAGCATAACAGGGTCATTAAAATTGACTGATCCTGTAAAGACAATTTATGGACGGTGCATGTTATCATTTTTATTTTAAGTGAATTACTAGCTAATGACTATTTCTAATGAAGTTTGTGAAAGCGGTGATGTTGATGAACGCGGCAGATTACAGAGCAATGTCTGCAGGTCATCAGAAACTAAACTGCAGTCTGCAAGTGTCTGTTCTTTCCTTCGTAATCCGTGGTGCTGAAAAAACAGCGTCTTTTTTTTACTTCTCACAACATCTGGGAGGCGAAATCCGGGTCACGATCTTCAGTGATATCAAAAAAGAGTATGATGTTGATACAGAATTAGCTTATGAAACAGCCATCAAATAGAAATTTACTATCATTGGACAGGACTTGATGAAATGGGATTTTTTTTTCAGTGTTTGTAGTACTCGGTAGAGCATTCTGTATATTTTCTGTGGTAAAATTATGAGCTCTCTTTGTCCTTGAAAACACATTATTATAGTAGAAGTAGTAGTAATAGACCATTTCTTGAGAGTGTGGGAAATCTGCTGGGGAAGAATACATGAGAGAAGGAAAGGCAGTTCTTTTAGATGTTCGTAGTCTGGACAAAAGCAGCTGGTAAAGAGGGATTACTGTAAGTAGAGAACAGAGCTGGCGTTCTTCGTATATCTTTGCAAAGGAGATTTAATAATTCTGCCTGAAGCGGCTCTGAACCCTGACTGACACTGTACTGTTTTGCGTGTACGCGAAATTACGTGTTAAAGTTACTGTTGGTGTGGAAGGCAGTCTCAGAACCCCAGGAATTTAGAGTACATTCTGACATACACTACATTACCTAAATATAGGATGCTGCAGGTAAGCAATACAAATACCTTTGCGATTAAACTTTTGCTTTTAATTTTAAATTGTATGCTGTACATTTTCTCAATACATTCAGGTCTTAAACTAAAGGGATACAGTACCTATTTAATTTTTATTACAATATTTTGATAAACAAAATCGTGTGTCTTTTTCCACTTTTTTGAAGCTTATTATGTCTGTAGTGTAATTAAACTTACAGCATAAATGCTTCTGAATGTTAAATGAGTTTGAAGTCATCAACTCACAATTATTTCATAGCAAAATTATCCAGATTACTTTATTTTGGCATATCAATGGAGATATGCTGGTGATTAATACTAGAAAAGATAATACTGTCATTATTATTTTAAGATTTGAGTATTTTTAAAATCCATTAACATATCTTATTTACTATTTTCAATTTTAAAAGGCCTCAATTTTTAAAGCATCCACTTGTATCTGGTTAAAAGGATTTGTTTACTGAAAAGCTTCATGCCGTGCCCAGTGTATCGTATTGTTTATTGTATTTACAGAAAGTGTAATGTACTTTAAAACTTATTTAATTTGAAAGAGTTCATGACTGAAATTCCTAAATTGTCCTATGACAGATAAGATCAGATTCATTATCAGTCAGTCATGTTCAATGGACTACAGGAAACACCACATTCCCAACCAGTTGCAAAACATGTTAATGAGAGTTTTGAGAGCTTCAAAGTCTTTGTACTGAGGATAAAAACTTCTCACTCATAAATGTAACAAATCCTCAAAGTTATAATCATGAAAACATCAAAATCATAGTTTTAGTAGCAGGTGGCATAATATTTTATTGAACATGCAGTATACCTGTAGGTTAATTCATAATACTGGTTACAGTTTGTCATAAATTGGACATCTACTGTGAATGTACTAACCTAGTATTATGTGTGGCCACCGCTGGAAGCAATACGAGTTGTCCATCCATAATGCGTGCTTTGTACCAGGTTGTAGGTACTGTGTTGTAGGATTCTGTGTCATTCTTCTTGTGGAGCCTAGGCAAACATGTGTCTTTTCAGTGTTTCCGAGCCCTACTTGCCAAATGTCCCAGCTCATCACACAGATTTTCAGTGGGACTCCAGTGTGGTGAGAAGGGCATCCATGACATAACTATCATATTCATGTCTCAGAAGAAGGCTGTTGTTTCAGGTTGGCAACTACCAGTGGAGTTCTGACATTTTGCCAAGAGCACCACTATTGGACCTCCAAAAGTGTGATTTATATGTTATGCACAACTAATAATACATTGTACTGCGTCTCTTTACCACACGTGGTAATGCCCATCTGGGTGGTCTATGCAAAACGTTGATTTATTGCCATAGAGGACATTGTTCCAGTGCTCGAAAATCCACCTAAGGTGTTGTTGCAATATACGGATGGTATGAAGGTATGAATCTCTTGTTAACCTGGTCTGAGTAATTACTTTCTGTGATTCCTGAAGTGATAAAACTCAAATGTATCATTGCTGGTACAACTGTAAATGTGCAGTTTGACAAAACAAAATTATTCTTCTGACTCAGCAGTCTGACTGTATGAGGATTAGAGTGGAAACTGATCAGGTGAGGATCACTCCACTGTAATACCAATGAACATTTGAAGTATTGCTAACATAAAAGGTTATAATATGCTTTTTTGCATTACAATTGATGTTGGTATAATGAAAGATGACCCAATAAGAGCATAAGAAGGGTTACTTATAAGGACAAGAAGACTGGCCCATCATTTTTGTCCATTTTAATGGCCTAATAATCTGAGAACCTCTTAAAGCATTTTTTTATTCCAGTATACTTGAAAGATACTATAAGATATAACAGTTATTCCACACTTGACTTGATATGCTAAATTCCATTAATGCACTGCTAGTATCTGTTGTTTAAACAACTCTTATGTATAAAGTACCGTGACTTCAAATACAGTACCTACAGTACGTATAACTACTGTATAAAACCAGTGCTGTAATGCTCAAACAGTGATTTTCAGTAACTCAGTCAATAAATAATAATACAGATGCATATATTTATCATATATATTTGGCTAACACAAAGTTATATTTTTGCAAATTATTTTGGGGGCAGTATAATAAAAATTTGTGATTGGTTGAGTTCTAACCTTAAATGCAAGATTTGGCTTTCCAAACTATAAATAAATGGTTTGTGGTGTTTACTGTTTTGTGATTTTCAGTTAATCCAAAGCATTATACTTTTATCAACAATATTATTCTTCTAAACACATGTGATTATGTTAAATATATTCCAAATGAAAACCTTTTTTATTTTCGTCAGAGGGCATCA